CTCACCAGCAATACAATCCCAGCCTCACCACATCAACTCCAACAACTCCCACCCTCAACCACGCACCGCTACCTCCGCGTCCTCCGCCAGACGCAACTACCCACCACCTTTCTCAAGAACCACATGCATGAGATTGTCGTCGTGGGATTATTTCTTCTCGTGCCTATCACTCTAGCGCTCGTTGAGATTATCGAGCGCATTGGACTAGGTGTTGACGATGGTATCGAGCTGGAAGAATATCTCGAGAGGAAGAGGGGAAGGGGGATGATTCGACGGGGGAGACGGGTTCTTCGGAAGAAGCGAGGGAAGAAGAAATCCAGATTGATGCAGATGGATATGGAGGTGGATCTAGAAGATCAACTATCCTACCGGTGAGGTTTATGTTATTTTTTTTATGTGAGGTAAGCTATGGTGAAATTGCATATCTTCATTTGCTCATGTACTGTGACATTTATTTATGTATGTATATATATATATATAACAAGAAAAGGAAATTTTAATTAACCATGATGTGTGATATTAGACCTTCTCGCGCTGGTCGATCTCGGCCTTCTCGGCGGCACGCGTGAAGGCGTCGACGTCGGCGGCTTCACCCTGGGGCAGGTGGCGGGCCATGGAGACGATGTGCCAGGAGGAAGGGGCGTCGCGGAAGACGTTGTTGATAGCCTCCAGGTTGCGGTTCATGGTCTCCGGGTAGAAGATGTAGACGGTGATGGGGATGCAGGCGGAGATGACGGCGTACATGATGTAGTACTGGTAGCCGATGGTGTCGAGGGCGACGGGGGTGATCATGACGACGACGAAGTTCCAGAGCCAGTGGTTGGCGGTGGAGATGGAGGACATGGCGACACGGAGGCGCACGGGGCGACCTCGGTGCAGTACAGGAAGTTGCCGCCCAGGAAGCCGAAGGGGTAGAAGGTGTTGAAGAGGAAGATGAAGAGCGCGGAGACGATGGAGGCGGCGTAGTTCTTGCCGAAGCTGTTGGTGATGGCCAGGACGATCATGCAGACGCTCATGCCGGTGCCGCTGATCATGAAGATGGCGCGGCGGCCGAGACGGTCGATGGCCATGAAGGAGATGAAGCTGCACAGGAACTTCCAGGTCATGGCGCAGGAGGACAGGATGCGGGCCAGGTCGGAGTCCATGTTGAGGTTCTCCTCGAAGATGGTCGACGCGTACACGGAGATCAGGTTGCCGCCACACATCTGCTGGAAGAACTGCAGCGACATGCAGAGGGCGAAGCGGTACAGCAGACGGTCTTTGTCGTTCTTGCTGAACATTTCCTTCAACGAGCCGCCGCTCTGGTCGGCGGTGACTTCGAGCGAGGACTCAATGCCGGCGATTTCCATGCGGATCTCGTCGTCCTCTTCGGGGAGGCCCTTGTAGGCGGCGAGACTGGCGGTGGCTTCTTCGATGCGGTTGACGTGGACGAGCCAACGGGGGGATTCGGGGAGGAGGAAGACGGAGGAGACGAGGACCACTTCGAAGAAGAAGGAGATGGCGAGCGGGATCCGCCATTGCAGGGAGCCGTCTACTTTACTGAGACCGAAGTCGATCCAGTTGCAGAGCGTGTAACCCAGGCAGATACAGATGCCGTCGACAATAACGTGCTGGCCACGGTGCTTGGCTGAGGTACATTCGGACTGCCACACCGGCACGGCGGCACTGAACAGTCCAATACCCACACCGAGGACGACTCGGCCGATGGTGAACTGGATCAGGTTGTACGAGGCTGTCTGGAGCACCTGGCCAACGATGGAGATGATGGCGCCGATAAAAATGGTCTTCCGACGACCGATCCAGTCACCGAGGAACGAGCAGGAGAGGGCTCCAAACAGGGCCCCGAGCTGGAAGGATGCGATGACGGCACCTTTACTGGTCGAATTGTGCGCCTTGAGGGCACCGGTTGTGTTGACCGCGTCGATTTCAGGGAAGACATGAACCCAGCTTTGCAGGGTGGCTAGGGGGCCAACACCAGCTTGGTTGTAACCGTAGAGGATGAAGGCAGGAACCACGATGAGAAACACCTGAGCCAGGCGGAGAGGTCTTCCTTGGAGCACCATTTTGGATAGTGATGGGCGAGTTCGACAGAGAGTGCCCAAGTGTTTCCAATGCTTTCTAGGCCGGGTGGCAACGCGTCGCTGCTGGCCTTTTATACCCTAATGCACCGGACGCATAATCCCCTACACCTGACCCCAAATGGAATTCTACGCGGAGACCCCGCATCTTAGTAAAATTTTTACTATACTCACCGAAAGAGAATGGATACAAGGTTGGTCGAAGTGGGCTAGGGGAGTTGGAGCACCTGTAAAGCCAGTGGGCCGCCCAATTGAGCCGTGTTGAAGCACCAAGGGTTGCATCTCAGTTGAGGGTCATCCCGATCCACTTCTCGGACCGTGACCGAGCGGGCGGCCTAATCACAGGGACGGTCATTCGTCGCAAGCTAAGAAAATCGGGGCTGACCTTCTGTTGAACCGAATGCTGAGAAATGCCGCATTGGCCGGAGTACGTACAAAAACCTGGAGAAGAGATTGTCCGAAACCCCTTGCCGGCTAATATGGGCTGTCGGTATTTGGTATTACTGTTCTAGTTGCGCGGCGAGAATATCTCGGAGAAAAGAAGCTTCTCCCCCAGAAAACAAGCACGATCGGCGACCTCCACGTTTTCTTGTCTTTTTCTTGTCCCGGACCATTATAACCCCGTACGATCCCTCCGAGAAAAAAATCCAATTTAAGAAATATTGCCGTTTTTTTGAGCAGACACAAAATTTAATGTGTGTTTTAACTAGGGTCCTAGTTCTTACAGTCGCTGGATCTCCCCCACCATGGCCTCGGTGACTTCCTTGGTCGTGGCCTTACCTCCTAGGTCTGCGGTCAAGATCCCTCCCTCACACACATTCTCCACACACTCCATTAGCTTCTGAGCCGCTGTCTCCTCGCCCAACCACGCTAACATCTCGGCCGCCGTCCAGAAGGTGGCAACGGGATTAGCAATGCCCTTCCCGGTGATATCGAACGCTGAGCCGTGAATCGGCTCAAACATGCTTGGGTGCTGTCGGGTGGGGTCCAGGTTCGATGTCGGTGCGATTCCTATTGAACCGGCGAGAGCAGCTGCGAGGTCGGAGAGGATGTCCGCGTGCTAGGAATCCCGATTGATCAGCATCAGCCCATGACCCCAAACCCTAATTTCATAAGGTAATATCAATCTGGCCCCCTCAAAGCCAAGCGTCCAGAAAAACCTTTATCAACGCCCACCTTCCTCCCCCGAATTTATCCCGGGGAGGGCAAGAAACGCGAAGGGGATTGGATAAAAGGAACAAAGAAAGGGAAAAGGGGAAAGTCAAACGCACCAAATTACTGGCAACAATCGTATCCACTGTCTCCGGCTTCAACACCATCCTTGTAGTCATCGCGTCCACCAACATCTTGTCCACTTGCACTTCTGGAAACTCCTTCCCCACTTCGGTCGCAACCTCATCCCAAAGGACCATACCATTGCGCTGGGCATTGCTCTTAGTGACCACGGTCAGTAACTTCCGTGGCCGCTTCGCCGCCGTCTGGAATGCGAAGCGCATGATTCGCTCAACACCGTGCCGGCTAAAAATCGCTGTCTCAGTCGCGACCTCCCATGGGCAGCCGCGGTGGGATCGACCCCCCTGTCCGGCATACTCGCCCTCACTGTTCTCACGAACAATCACCCAGTCCAATTTGCCGGGGGGGCAATTCCGAAGCGGTGATTGTGTGCCCCGGAGGACTCGCGTAGGTCGCACATTCGCGTACTGCTGCAACGGTTGGCAGATCGAAAGACGGAGACCCCAAAGGGAAATGTGATCGGGAACATCTGTGGGTATTTACATTAATAATCATCGTAGCATAACTACTACCTAGGCGATGTCGTATTGCATATGCGGGCTAGGTTGATCCCCGGACATGGGGCGGTGTATTTGTTTGCTTTTCTTGTTCTATTCTTTCTGGGGACTTACCAGGTGCTCCCACAGCTCCGAACAAAATCGCATCATGGCGCTTCAGGTCATCCAGTCCTCCGTCGGGAATATACTTGCCGGTGGCTTTGTATGTTTCCGAGCTCCAGTCGTAGTGGGTGAAATCAAGCTTGAAGGTGTTAAGCTTCTCGGCCAAGGCGTTGAGAACAGTAACTCCGGCCGAGATAACCTCTGGACCGATGCCGTCCGCGGGGATCGAAGCGATGCTGTAGGTCTTCATGGTGCTGATACAAGAATGTGATCTGTGAAATAATCCGGTAAACTTGTCTTCAGGTTTAGTTCTTTTGGTATGCTTTCATTCGTATTTATGTTTGGAAAATCTTTTGCGTGAGGCGACGGAGGTTGTGAACCCCGCCGGACTTGTTCTGTCCGGTATACTGGGCCCGGAGGTGAACATGTCCGGGTTGCCACGTCTATCCAGATTTCCTTTCTCGCTCATTCCCAGTACTCCAGAGTACGTCTATCGCGGGGAAAGTTGGGGAACATGACTGCCGATGTCGTTTCCGATGGTAATTACGCGCCAGTGTAACTTATGATGTGAACATATGGCTAAATTTGAAACCCGAAATTTTGATCGAAGTTCTCCTCGATTAGCCAGGGCCCATCCGCAACGGTCCACAGGTCATTCCACCCGGACTCAAAATCTCCGGGGTCTGGAAACGGATACGTAAATGGCAGATTATTGATCGACGAGTCTCCAAACACAACCGAGGGGTGATATTGCGGAGCTAACCTGGGGTCCTCGGCAATGTTAGTGGGGAGATCCGGGACTCTGTCTTCTGCCGGTCCTGGGCTTATTGGTCGGTTGTCGGTTGGGGGCATTGGCGGCGGGTTGGATAGAGCAGATTCTAGATCGCGGATAGCTTCGATGCAGGTCTGCGACCAGGTGTTTCCTCTCAGGGATAGGTTTTGGAGGATGGAGAGGCCGGTTTTGGCGTATCTAATGCAATGGTGTTAGACCTGCGTCTTATGGCTCAGACATATCTCGCTCTTACCGTGAAGCGGATTGCACGGGAAAATCCCCTTCCCATGCCGCATATACTAGGATCAAACAGCTCATCCAGACGGCCCATGTGAACGACGGCCATACCAGCGGCACGGTCCCCTGACCGCTGGGCAGGACATACCCTCTGAGGGCCGTGATCAGTGATCTAGACGACTCAATACAAACCTGCAATGCCGTCTTATACTCCGGCGATGATTGCTCGGCCGCCAGGAGTGGCCTGTTCATCGAGATGATAGATTCATGGCGGAAGACAATCAGCAGTAGACGATGAAGTGGCGAAACTCCCGGGTCCTCGTCCACCGGGTAAACATCATCGTAGACTTCGTTCCACCAGTGGGCAAGCTCCCCGTTCACTTGGGTCGCGGTTTTGGAGGTTTCTTGGCTGTGAAGGATGGACTTATTGCGGAGTTCGACGACTAGACCTCTTACGCGGGCGAATTTGGCCAGATAAGTGAGCAAGCGGAGATTTGGATCTGGAACATTAGATATGTGTGCTGTAAATCAGGCGAAGAGATTATTACACACCGTATACCCCTTCACTGTGTCTTTCTATGCCTGGATAACACACGTCGATGTCATCGTCTCGGATGCTCAGTGGAATACCCAGGGACTGGGAGAGGTATCTTTCTAGGCAGTAAATCGACCAGAATAACCGCTGTCGGACTGCAGCTTCTTCTGGGCTAAAACAGGCGAATCGCGCCGGGCATCGATGTAGACCGAGATGGAATGCCGTGCGCGTTATAGCACCACCGATCCGCGAGGCGGCATTCAATCGCAGCAGCGAAGCGAGGAACAATGCCACGCTAAAAGCCGCCTGGAGGATAGATATCGTAGGCGGGTCACAGAAAAGCGTGTGCAGGCTTTCCATCGCCTGATCGACTGTGCGAAAGACCAGCTTGGCGGGCACATGCGTACTCCTCGTAGCATCCACCTGACGACCATCCATAAGAGAAATGGACACGATGGACCGGACGAGAATCACGTCCGTCGTCTTTGCGCCGTCCAACCCATCCTGGCTAATCCGCTCCAGTAGCTCAAGGAACCTCGGACCGGAGAGGAACGGAAACATCGGATGCCAACATTCGAAGTAACTTCTCGTCCACTGCACAAGCTGTTCAAATGAAGCCGTCCGGGTCCGGTGGTCCAGCTCCTGCGGCGCCCACAGCTCGTTCTTCACTGCCTGCGCATCGTGCCCCGGGCTCTGGAGCAATTGGTCATCTTCACCAGGGACTAGATTTTCCTGTGCCTTCTGGGACTGGCTCAGATGCGCTGAGCGACGGGCAAATGAGTTGTAGACAGTGCGGATGAAATGAATGCCGCTTGAGCTGCCGAGGAAGCTGGCGGAGCCATTGTCAACGGAGGACTTCCTCATCACGCCGATTTCTCGCGGCGGATTCGGTTTGCGCCGCTTGGTGGGAGAAGTAAGATAATCATGGTGTGATGAGTCCATGATTCAGCAATGGGAGACAGGATTCTTATTGGATTGGGAAGTGATAGTAGGCGGAAGAGCTTGATAGAGTTGTGTGGGGGTGGAGACAGCTTGCCAAGTGCAGCATGATAATCACCCCTTGGCATACGCGTTTTAAGCCATGTGCATGTCCCCATAGAGAGTGTGTGGATACGTCTTTCGTTACCTTCGCATGATACACAGGGGTTCGCTGAGCTTATTCTTGAGGACGACGATCGTCTGGGGGAGTGGAGGAGGAACAAAGTCAACTTGAAGTTACCCCGGAAATATATTTTCCATCCGCAAGCACGTGGAGTATAGTCGTGGAGAAGACCACTTGAACCCACTGACAATTAATAAAAAAGAGAAAAAAGGACAGTACTATATAGAATGATTAAGGCAGTAGTACAAGGAAAAAGGAAAAACTCCAGCTGGATCAAAACTAGAAAAGAAGGCTTAAACCGGCGAGTTCATTGTCCCATAGGTTTCTAACCACATACATGCATGCCTCAGGCACAGTTTACCAGCAGATCAATTGTCCAATCACACACGGCCGGACTTTCTTCTTGCGGCATGCATTTCACATTGCCTCCAACTTCAGCCTCCAACCCGCCATCTATATCTATTAATATCCACCAGAATCCATGTTATGATACCCTCAGAGTAAATGAAATAATCACCGAACAAAAATGTCTACAAACACCATAGCCACGTCTCATCCCCAAAATCCAATCTCTTGCGAACCATGTCGACAGAAGAAATGCAAAGTCAGTTAACTCCCAACCAACTCGATGCCAGTTTATATAGTATTCCATCTGAGATTTGATTGAGAAATTAACTGACTGACTATTTCAGTGTGACCGACTCCTGTACGCGCAATCACTCACTATGTTCTGATATTAAAACTAATAATCAAGTCCGACCTGCACACAATGTGCCACCACTCCATCCTCGCAAAGTAGATGTATATACCCCGAGAGTGGGAAACGGTTCGTATACATATGTCATGTCTGTAAGAACCGTGCTAGAATTTATACTAATAATCGCTAGAGGTCTTCCGCAAGGGTATATAACCCATATTGAACATCGTCTCGCCGCGACAGAAGCGGCTTTGTTCTCGATGTATTCCCAGGTTCGGGCTGAGAGGGCTGTGCAACCGCAGAGGCAATCACACGTTCAGGAAAACACTCTGGCTGTTCCTGTTGATGTGGTGGCTTCGTCGAGGGGAAGTCGGATGGAAAGTATGGCGGAGTGGCAGGCGTTGCCGTTGAGGACTCGAGGAGAGCTGGAGAGATGGTGGGGGGTTAAGAGAGGAGCTTGGGGGGTAGAGATTGATGATGGGGGATGCTCTTCTGGTGGCTTTGGGCAAGAGAGCGAGAAGCGGTTGTTGGTTGAGGATCGAAATGAAACTAACCCAGGGGGAAGGGACGCAAATCTAGAAGTAGATAGTGGGAAGATGACCAGAGCGGAGAGACTGGCAAGGCTGGAATCAAGGGTATATTTTTGAACTTCTGCTCTAAACCGATTGAGCATGTACATATGCCTCGTATTGCGTGTAAGATGTATCGTCTACTGGTGTACATGATATTCGACGAACATTTCAAAATTACATGGATGGGGACAAATGAACCGATCAGACAAGGCGCGACAGTCCGTTCTGATCGGGAAGACCATCCTGGTTCTTCACCGTCCAGTCCTCGCTCCCAACTCCGGTCGGGGCATAGAACAATCCTGATACGTCGTAACTTTGTTTGGGCTGGTACAGGCGCTCATAGTTTGAGCCGTAGAACGACTGATGGAAGCTTGGCTCCACAATATTCACTTCCGACGTGTAAACTCCCGCCTCGGGGGTAGGTCTTGCGCCAGATACCGAGGACATCGTTGGCGAAATGCTCCATCTGGTTCGGTGCTGGTGGCGAACGGGCTAAGAGGCATGTCAGTGCTGGCTTAGGGTGCAGCCAATGATTTGTGAATAACTATGTTTAGTTTCATGCTTAGTCTCTCATATGGAGACTGCTTTACTCTGTACTATGTAGTATGTATATGGGAGGATGACGGCCCGATAGCCGATGCCCTAACTTTTGTCAGTCAAAGATTTCGCAGATGGAGTCATCGACAAGGGTAGTAACTTGGCTAGACTATTGTTGGTGAGCACTGGGCCTTTCTTCTTTCAGTAATGAATCCTATGGTATATATCATAGAGACCGACCCACACCAGTGGAGGAGGAAGGATCATGCAATCTGGGGTATCATATAGTATGGCTCCCCACTTGGTGCGAAGACTTCAGGTTCGGATTTCCATGGATCAGAAGATAAAGAAGTTGAACCTACCGGAGACACGGACAACGTGTGCTTCTGGCAAAGGAACAGACAGCCTTGTCAGGTCCTCATGGCTCGTCGGCCCCTCCCTTCCGTGCCCTACTTTTCCGCAGAAGTTCAAGTATCGCCTCAGAAAGTGATCGGCAGGATGGAAATCTGTTAAGTCGCTAAGCGGCCACGTGATCCCACCAAGTCCAATTTGCATAATAGATATGTAGACAGATCGAGTTGAATACTGCTAGTATTGCGCAAGAGACGGTTGGTTGTGGTCCTGCGGGAAGATGTATCATAATACTCGAGTGATGTCCAAAGTCTAAATGCATCCAACTAGAATAGATCCCTACATTCTTGCCAGATACACGATTATTTACGGGGTCACGTGCCATGCAATTGGATGCAGATCTTGTAGTCAAGCAAGCTGAAAAGAGCGGTCAACCGCTCTCAAAAGTCCCGGCCACACACAATATAACTTGCAATATACCCGCCGTCGTGTTCGTATGCAAAGACGCTGCGACGAGACGACCTAGGAACACTAGCGGGCTAAGAGAAGGTGTTCTCTCTATAAGAAACCAAGATGGCAGGATATTATCCCCTGTCTCAGATCCTTAGCGTGGCCAGGGTTCATCCATTTTATTCAGATGCCGAATGGGCCCCTACACGTGAAAGATTAGCCGAGATCCTTGCAAATGCCGATAATCCACCCAGTGGTATCCATTTACATGCATTCCCACCTACAGAGAAGTCTAAGTTGTAAGATAGCTTGATCCGATGTATTCAGTTGTAGAGAGACTAACAGCCTCCGACCAAAAGATACAAGCACATTGCTCGACTGACTGCGGATACTAGTCCCCAAAATGGTTATCGACAAAGCACTTATATTAGTACGACCGGGGGTGGATCCGGGGGTGCCCCGATGGTGTTTGCCACGGACTCCTTGGAGAATCGTCAACAGCGCGCGGCGATAGGAGCATTAATGCGGGCTTGTCAAATTATCGAGCCAGGCGACTGGGCTCTAACCATGCATGTCTCCGGACATTTCTATCGGTGGGTCGATACACTACAACGGTGATATTGCCTAGCGGCTAAAAGTGTTCACAGAGCCCTTGATCTTACAACAGAGCTTCTTGAAGCCGCGGGAGCCTCTGTTTTATGTGCTGGAGCCGAAATGGCAATGGAAGCAGTCGTCGACGCACTGAACCAGTATCGTGTCAATGTGGTGGCTGGCGACGCAGGGCAAGTAGTCCAGTTAGTCAGATATATTGACACGCTGCCTGTAGGCCAGAAAGCTTCTCTCCAAATACGGAAGGTTCTATATACATCCGAGCCTATGACACCCGCACAGAAGAATTTTATTAAATCGGTGCTCGGCGAGGTTACCATCTACTCGGTGATTGGGAGCGCAGAGGCTGGCCCATGGGCTGTATCCAACCCGTTGCTTACCAACCATAACACCGCGTCGTCTGCTGCTGACTTTATCTACGATACTCGAACGATGCTTCTCGAGGTCCTGCCCCTATCCTTTCAAGATGCAGAAGTGAAGAGTTATTGTGATGAGAGGCATATGGTGGGTGTCCCCGACGGCGAAAAAGGAACACTTCTGCAAACATCTTTGCAGCGGCTGCGGAATCCTCTAGTACGCTATGTCTGCGGGGATGTCGCATCTCTTCATCCACTCTCTGTGGAAGCCCGGACAAGATTGCCCGCGGAGGATGCTGAGCATTACCGTATTGTTCGTATCTATGGGCGCGACAAACGGCTCAGCTTCGACTGGTACGGAGAGTACTTTGAGTTTGACACAGTTCAAGCGCTCATGCGGCAGGCTAGTTGGGGTATTCTTCAGTGGCAGGTCATCCTTTGGACCAAGCCGGAAGGATTGGACAAATGCTTGGAAGTCCGTCTGTTGCGAGCCTCGGCATCGGATGGCAATCTGCTCAGTGAAGCAGATTTGATTAAAGAAATCAAGCACTTCTTTATGGTCTTTGATTTCAATGAGGATCTCTTTCAGCTGAAGTTCCTCACTGGTTTAGATGGATTCGTTCGCAGTGCAACAGGCAGGAAGGTGGCCAACTTTATAGATAGGACTAGTTAGCGCGCATGACGCTGGGGCATTGGTTAGCTCAACTGGAAAAAGACGTCATTCTGAAGCTCCCAATTCTCCTGTCGGAATCTAAGGCTATTAAAGGACCATGATGCCATTTTCTGGACAATACGTGCCAGTTGCATATCGCAGTCTGTCGGCAGTTACTCAACCCCGTAATTGACAATCATGATAGACCTATTTATAACAATACGAATTTTCGACATCTAAAAATACATTCAGATTTGCTAGACTGCTACAAGGGTGTTTTAATTCTTGGTTACAAATCTGCTGTATAAGAAACCCTCTATCTTATCTGTACACTCTAATCTGACAAAATAAGATCATTGGACCCCATTTAAGATGATATTTTCCAGCATCTCCCGCTCCGGATCCTGATACACCATGCCCCGGAAAGACGACTGCTCACGAAGGAGCAACTCCTTCGGACTGCCCGATTCTACAATCATCCCGTCATCCATGACAAGCACCATATCTGAGTCGGCAATTGTCTTCAGCCGATGAGCAATGACCAAGAAGGTGGTCTGATATTGGCCAAGGGCCGAGCGTAAGCTTCGCTGGATCAGATCGTCAGTCGAACTATCAACCGACGATGTTGCCTCATCCATGACAAGGATCTTCGGACGTCGGATGATAGCGCGAGCGAGACAAAGGAGTTGCTGTTGTCCTTGAGAGAGATTCTCTCCACAGTCGGCAACCGGCTGGTCGAGCGGATTTTCTGTGCTTTTTTCCATGAGGAGATAGTCGTGCTCCGTGTCGATGCCTTCTTCGACTAGAGAGTTGCGGTCTGAGGAGGATCGGAGTGGAGAACCAGGGCTGTCTTCCGAGTCACGATCCTGATACCATCCAACAGCTTGCAGCGCGCCGGCAAGGGCGGCGTCATCGTACTCGCCAAAAGGATCAAGGTTCGACCGCACCGTTCCACGGAAAAGCACCGGATGCTGCGGGATAATTGCTAGCTGGCTACGCAGCCGGCTAAGGCTCACCTGCGAGATATCGACATTGTCCACCCTGATCGAGCCGTGGGAAGCCTCCAGGAAGCGAAACAAAGCCAAGACAAGAGACGATTTACCAGCGCCCGTGCGCCCAATCACCCCGACACGAGTATTCGGCGAAACGGTGAAATCTAGCCCTTTCAACACAGGTGGAAGATGAGCGGCGTGCTGGACGAATAGTTGGGAAACCTCTAGTTTTCCCTCCTGGGGCCAGCCCCGTGGAAGATCCTGGTCGTACCCTTTGTCCGATTCGGTCTCTATGGTAGTGAGTGAATGGATTCGCTTTACGCTATTCATTGCTTGCTCCAGATTAGAATACGCGCGTATACCCATTGCCATGTTGAAGGAAATCTGAAGGGTGAAGCCGATGGCAAATCCAGCTACCGACGGGCTGATCCCCGGCATGTACGCTACCATCACAGCGGAAAGAGCGGAAAATGCAGCACCCAGAACATTGACTCGGAAGGCCAGCCACCGGTTGAGCAACCAGAGATGCCAGAATGCTCGTGCGTGGCGGCCCACTTTATCTTGAAATCTTTGTACAGCAACGTCCACTTGCCCAAAGGCTCGTACGGAAGACAGACCACTGATTGTGCTTTCCAGTTCCTCGAGAAGTGGCCCTTTAGCGTCGTTCTCCAAGTCTTTCAACTGTCGGGACGCCTTGATATACCGGCGGGCGAACCAGAAGTACATCGTCAGGAGGACGATAGTGATGATAAGGAGGGCGGGATTCGCAATGGTGCCAGCAATCAATGCTGCAGCCACATCCATTGCGTACTCAAAGGTAGAACAAAGCTCGGTTCCAACTTGGGCATCCAACGCATTGAAATCAGCGGAGAATCGACTAAGGATGTGTCCTAGGGGCGTGTTGTCGTGCCACTGAAGAGGGGCGCGGAGCACAGAAGAGAGTACTTTATGGAACAGATTTTGCGAGGCTCGAAGTGCAACAGACGAAGTGGAATAAATACGGCCTGTGCCAAAGGCACACGCTAACAGTGAGAGTATAATATATACGCCGAGATAGTATAACACTGAGTGTTGCGAGGCGATTTGTTCGGTGGCTTGCCCAGGGACCGGGGCCGATGCCTGAAAATCATCCGTCCATATATGAATCCACCAGGACTTTGAGAGAGTTAGTGAAAGTATCAAGCGATATGATCGCTTTATAGAGTCAGTGGGATCTTACCTTAGCCAACATAAGCCCTGAGAACCCCATAAATGAGACAGCCAGAAACAGCCATTGGAAGATATTACCCCCCTCTGTTAAGAAAGTACTAGCAACTGTGCGTTCGGAGGAATTGGTAGCCAACCTGCTAGCTTTCTCGGCAGTTGCAGAGCTACTGGAGATATTTATACTTTCCAGGGATCCTCTGTCAGGGCATGGCGATTCAAGGAGCGCTGGCAATGCCTCCTCCTTTGGCTGAATAGATGGTATCAGCGGTTGCTGAGGGGCTGGTTGTGGCTCATGCAGTATATCTGCCGACTTCAACCCACCATTCTCGAGCTGGACCAAGTATTTTGCACGCGGTAAGCACAGTTTGAGATGGTGAGTGACGAGGATGCACGTTCGCCCTTGCAACAGCTCCCCACCCAAGGCATACTGAGAGATGTGCTCGCACGTATGAACGTCCAGGGCACTAAAGATGTCATCCAACAGAAGCGTACGAGCCCGTGAGTATAAAGCACGAGCGAGACAAACGCGCCAGCGTTGTCCGCCACTGAGGTTTGTCCCGTTGGCGCTGATTTCCGTCTGATCCTTCTGGGGAAGAAGTTCCAAGTCCTTGTCCAATGCGCACGCGAAGATCACCTTCGCGTATCTCTCCTTATCCAGTGGTAAACCAAGAAGGATATTTTCTCTCAAGGTGGATGTCTGTAGCCACATTGACTGAGAAACGAATGCCACTGCAGAGTTGGCCACCCAGGGATCGGCGGCCCGAACATGTGCGATTTGCTCAAATGAGACTGGTACTGGTGCAGATATACTGCCGTTCAAAATCTCTGCTTCCCCCAATATTGCTGCAAGAAGAAGACTCTTGCCGGAGCCGGTTGGTCCGGTGATAATGCTGAGGGAATCCTTGGGGAATGCCAGAGTCAGACCTGTTAAAGTGCTGGCTGTATCGCTGCACCCAGGCCAAGCAACTGTCGCATCCCGGAATTCAACTCGCTCGGCGGGAGTAACCTTGTTGAAACGCTCTGGCTGCGACAGATATATTGTAACCCGCCTTATACTCACTTTCGCACTTAAGAAGAATGATATGAAATTCGGTAGCATGCCCATCGCTATTTCAAGAGAGCTCATAACAGCCAAGGCTGTAAATGCAGTGGAGGCATCCAAGCTTCATGGTAGAATATATACACCGAAAGGCAAGTTGCGGAAAGGAGGATTGGGCTTATGAAATACATGGACATAAATGCCATCTGCCAGAGACAGACCGCCCACTGCGCTCGGATTTCAGAGCCTCGCAATTGACGAATCCTTCCCTCCCACCGGCTTTCCAGTGCGGAAAACTTAATCTGGCGAACACCTCGAAGCATCTCCACCACAGCTCTGAGCCTGTTGTCACGATGCTGCATCGATGCTGCTTGCGTGGTAGAATACCTGCTCACTGCCCAAGCATTGAAGAGAGTAAGGAGGCCCCAGATGGTGACTCCAGCAAGCAGGCTCCGCCAGCCCAGTAGCCGAGTCAGGAAAACGGAAGCAATTGCCAGCTTCGTTGGTGACTCATATATGATGAAGAAAAAGCAGAAGAAATCTGCTATATTCCTGGCATCGACGGCAGCCATATTAACTGGATTCGGAGTGGTTTCGTCGTTGTCTGCCTCGTCAGAGCTTGTGGCTCGATGCAGCCGAACTGCCTTGTTGAAGATCGCGAGAGATAGCTGTTGTTGCACCTTAAGGTTTAGATTGTTAAATGAGATCCAAAACTTCAGCGTGTCTAGTGTTGCGGACCCCAGCACCGATAGACCGAGGCCAATAACTGGAACCCAAAGCATATCGGCATTTTTTCCGGACTCTCGGGCTTCCAGCAGCTTCAGGATGTGCCATAAGGCTATTTGTGGGCCAAAGCTGAGGAATGAGAGCAGGATAGTAAGCGCCATCTGATAGAGCAAGGCCCGGCCATGGGATCGAAATATTGAGCACCATAAACCCCAGCTCGCTGACAAGTTGTACTTTGCTGCCATTCCTTTCCATACACGGTATACGGTTACTCCCCTCGTGCTATTATCTAGCTCCGGCAAATCACTGATAGCTAAGCGTTGCGAATGTTCACTTTTACGCAAGACTGGGTCAATCCATGAAAAGCTGACCCAGCCTAGCAGACTGGTGGTGAATTGTCGATCAACCATGATACCCTTATAGAAAACATCTGGACGTCGTGGAATCAGCGAGCTGAGGAGGACGATTGTAACATCAATGGCAATCTGGGCACCAGCAAGTGCAATGTATACATTTCCAATGTGGCCTGAGTGGGAGTTGGCATAAATCTGGGCGAGACAGATCAGGAGTGCGACAAGACTGCTCGCCCCCATTCTCCAGCTAACCGCAAAATGTTCCGTGGACGAGGAGGGAACAGTAAGAGCGATGCTCTGGATGAGAACACATATCTTCAAAACCTGTCAGCTCTTCCAACTCAACGTCATGGAGGAATATTGAAACTAATGATATATCACGGGAAGTCCTTACCCAGACCCCGAACTCCATCCAATACGCCACATTTGCGGGATACTGGATATGAGGCATAGCAAGCCCCATCCGTAGCCCTACGATGGCCATCCCAGCTGTCGCGATAACCAGAATGGCCAAACGAAGGCCCCATTTTGCAGTGTGTTCGATGGTCTGTTGTGTAGCCTCCCCATCCTGATCTTCGTGGACCTGCACCAGCGACCGATAGGGGGTTGTTATCCTTCGGGTTGCCCATGACAATATATGTCGAAAAGCATACACATGGAGAATTAAGACTATCAGGAAGCCTGTTCCAGTCGAGAGGAGGCGCACATTTTCCATATTTGGCCTGTCGTTCTAAAACGTTTGAACGATGAAGGTGTGAAGGCCGTTCATCCACAGCCTTTTTGCATTCTGTTGGTCATTCCTCCGTAGCACCGTCCATGCAAGGAGCGAAATGAAGGAGAATGAAAAAGGAAGAAAAGGGAAGATATCATATTTAAAGTCCTTCGCATTTTCTAAGCATAAAGACTGAGGTGTTGCTGAATTGTTGGACCCCTTTTCCCCAAGATTTTATTGTGGAATCAATTATATTCAAATGGTCTTGATACAATCCCTTGCGGTCTCCCAAGGCTTTTTTTCTTTTGCGTTTCCTGGACTGGTCCAATGAAAGGAGATGGATCAGCTTTGGGATCTGGTCTATTGTGTCGATCATAAATACTGTCGATCGGCATCTATTTCCGGCAATGTTTTATGGTCCACATATTCCTTCCCCTTGCCACACCTCCTTGCGACTCCTTACAAGGCCATATGACTGTTGAAGGCTGTTCGAAATTCTGCTCGTCCCGAGCATTCTCCTGCCGAACATCCTATATTTCTATTAGCAATTGCCAATACCTCGAGAAATGCATTTCCCACCTCACCGACAGTTTGCGATGAGAGATCCTGAATTTAGCGTTGCCCTTGTTCAGCTGGAAAATAATTGAGTGTGCAGGCGAAAAAAGCAAGCCAATAAAATATAGACTATTGGATCTGTCATTCAAGCTCAGCTCTTCTGTGTATATAGTCAATACGGCTTGTAGATCAAAAGCCGAACCGGTTCGTTCCGTCGGTGGGTCCCTAAGCATGATATTATGCCCTTGATATTAAAAGCGGCCACCTCTTGCCCTACCAACGATAAAACAAGTTACAGTGAAGTCCATGTTGGAATTCTACTCACCGATATGAATCGGTAATGTCATACTACTGCGAAAACTCAATCTACACCTAAGAGTATAAAGTTCTGCAGACCAACATTCTGGATCTCTACTCGGCGCTTATGCGGCCTAAGGGATCGCATCAAACTGTGTCCTCGGTCTTTTCATGAGTACTAGTAGAGTAGGGAATAAATACCCAGCATTCAGAATGATACTAGTGTCGAATACCAAGATCGAATCATGTTCTAGTCAGAGCAAGATATTTATACCTAGGGGATCGCTATCCGGTCTAAATTAATTATTAAGAATATGTATCGCAGATCTAAGAAACCTTCTAGTTAGTTATTTAGACCAGATTACTAGTGTTCATAGACAAGGCACTCGAGTTTAGTTACGCAGGGTCCCTCCCGCCGCGGGAGCTGAGCATACGCTAGAGCTCACAATTATATATAGGAGAGGTGACGGGAGACAGGCGATAATTTAGCAATAACTTTATTTTGGTTCTAATTCTCACATTATGTTCTTTCGTATGAGGACTATACTGAGGTATAAAGATAACCTGCTATCATTACTTTCATGAACTTATAAATTTCTTTGATATTGGATGGTGCCACACTGCCGAGGGAACTCCAAAGAGGGGTTGCGCTGCGGGGTTCAACAGCATCGCGATGCTTATAAATTTGGAGATGTGTCGCAAAGCTTTCCACCTTTCTTTTCCTCCAGTATTTATCTCTCTGGAACTACACAACCCACAGGGTCAGCTGTACAGACATAACATTGCATCATGGCTACCCAGTACAAACTGCCGTTCGAGGTATGTGCTCCTCGGGGCGCGATCGGATAACAACTAATGCACGATTGATAGCTGAACGACCCCAGTCTGCTGCACTTTGACTCCTTCGTCGGTGACAGCTGGGTTCAGTCGAAGAGTGGAAAGCGTTTTGAGGTCATCGGTACGGTACCTGATAACCAGCCTACGTAGCTACGCGACCCTGGCCACTAACATGTGTGATGTGAAGACCCCGGAACCGACCTGGCGTGGGCCAGTTGTCCCACCAACAGCGCCGAAGACGTTCCATCAGCCGTGGAAGCCGCACACGCCGCCTTCGAGCAATACAAGAAAAGCAACCCCCGCCAGCGAGCGCAATGGCTCATGAAATGGGACGCGCTCATCCGGGAAGCCAAACCCGACCTGGCCAAGATCCTCACGCACGAGACGGGCAAGCCGCTGGCCGAGCCTACGGAGAGATCGACTATGCGACCGGGTTTACTTGGTGGTTCGCTGGCGAGGCCGAGCGTATCCACGGCAGCATTAGCGTGCCCTCGGCGCCGAATCGCCGCGTGTTCACGGTCAAGCAGCCGATTGGCGTGGCGGCTGCCTTGGTGCCCTGGAACTTCCCCATCGCGATGGTTCTGCGCAAGGCGGGCGCGGCGTTCGCGGCAGGGTGCACGATGATCGTGAAGCCGAGTCCCGAGACGCCGCTGTCAGCGCTGGTGTTGGCGCATCTGGCGCAGAAAGCAGGTTTCCCGGCGGGCGTGTTTAACGTGCTGACGACGGATCTGGAGAATACGCCATCGTTGAGTGAGGCGCTGTGCAAGCATCCGTTGGTGAAGAAGGTGACCTTCACGGGCTCTACGCGGGTCGGGAAATTGATTGCGTCCCACTGTGCGCATGGACTGAAGAAGTTGACCCTGGAGCTGGGCGGGAACTGTCCGTTCTTGGTGTTCGATGACGCTAATCTGGACCAGGCGTTGGATCAACTCATGGCGTTGAAGTGGCGGCATGCTGGACAGGCGTGTATCACGGCCAACCGGGTGTACGTCCAGGCAGGCGTCTATGATCGCTTTGCGCAGTTGCTCAAGGAGCGTACGCAGAAGTTGGTTGTGGGTCATGGTGCCAAAGAGGGCACGACGATGGGTCCCGTGACCACTCCTCGGAGCATTGACAAGGCGCTTAGCCAGGTCGAAGACGCCCGTCGACTCGGGGCTGATGTGATTCTGGGAGGGAATAAGGTCACGGATACCAAGGGGTATTTCTTTGAGCCCACGATCCTGACGGGCATGACTAAGGACATGTTGGTGTCCCGGGAGGAGACCTTTGCGCCTATCGCTGCCCTCTATAAATTTGAAACGGAGGAAGAGGCAGTGCAGCTGGCCAATGACACTAGCATGGGACTGGCGAGTTACGCGTTCACCAAGAACATTGACCGCATGTGGAGGTTACTAGAGAACCTGGACGCCGGCATGATTGGTATGAACACGGGTAACTCGTCCGCCGCGGAGTCTCCGTTCGGAGGCATCAAGGAGTCCGGGTATGGGAAGGAAAGTGGAAAGGAGGTCGCCGTGAATGAGTATCTGGTGACGAAGACGGGAACTCTTACGATCGAGGGACAGTATTAGTAGGCATAACAGAAGGTATTATCGTATGCACAGGCAGGCTAGGTGTCCTTTCAGGACGGTGTTTAACTGCTCTAGGTAGTCTAATCGAGAAACGTCATGCATTCACATTCACTGATCCACCGTGGAAGGAATTAGGCACGGACCTCAGGCATAAATATATACTGGATCGGAGTATAATAATTAATATAAAATGGAAACTATGGGCGGTCGGAGTCTAGCTCCGAACAGGCACTAATTACTGGATGGAGTCTAGCGGGATCCGAGGAGCATCTAAGTTGAGTTAGTGTGATCCAACTGGGCAAAAAAGTCGGCACTTTGCCGCATTGGAAACTTGCCGTTGCTCGTAGAGATTGCCTGATGCGGCATAGTGCACGAGCGATCCAGTGATCATCGATGGATTTGGTTTGATCTTCTTTTTCATCCACTCCCGCTGGTCTCTCTATCTTCTCGCTCTATGATCGATGATTTGATTTGATTCCACACCAGCTCACGGTCGTCGAGTCTTCCGCCTTGGGATTGGCATGATTTGTCTCCCCTGTGTCAGGTCGAGTTTCCTGCCAATCATGCCGGGACTGAATTTCTTGTCTCCGACCCTGTACTAAGCATGCTTTTTGAGGTAACATCTCCGATATTGTCACATCGCGCCTTGCGTGCCTGATCAATTCCGACCATCTCGACGACTTGATCGACACTCGGAAACTGACGAACTGCCTCTTTGGGTAAGCATCTACTGCTTTTTTCGATTTTCTATTTTTGTTCGATTTTTTTTCTCTCGCTTCTGGTGCTATCGATCTTCCCTGGGTCGGGTCGTTTATATACTTCGCGATCTTCTGTCCGGGTGACTACTCTGCCTGCCATACAACTTCAGACCTACTCTGTGATGAACATACTATTATTGATCTCTTAATTACGACGTTCTTTCTCTTAACTCTACCTAATCATAATAATCAATCTTTCCTGACTCCAATCATGGATCTCACCTCCCTTCAATCCTGGATTCAAACCCATCCCCTCATTGATAACCATGCCCATAACCTCCTGAAGCGGGACCAGGCCTGCAATTACGCCAAATATCCGTTTGAACAGATCACGTCAGAAGCTCAGGGATCCGCTCTGCGCAATGCCCCCTCTACATTACCATTACACCGCGCCGCCACACAGCTCGCCGCCCTCTACCGCTGTGCCTCCTCCGACTGGGATCATGTCAAGGCGGCACGCGACGCACGGGTACAGCGCGACTATGACGGTCTGATTCGCGAGTGTCTACAGGGCACACATACTTTACTTCTCGACGATCTACTCACCGACCAAGATATTGAATCCTACGAATGGCATGACCGCTTCACCACATCGCAGACCAAACGGATTGTGCGGATCGAGACATTGGCCGCTGAAACAATTTCCACACTGATGCGGGATGACGCCCGGCCCCAGCAAGGAGACGTCTCGGTGCTGCGGGAGCGGTGGGAGCAGTTCCGTGAGGGCTTTAAGCAACGTATCGACAAGGCGATCGCAGACCCCGCAGTGGTGGGGTTCAAATCGGTGATTTGCTACCGAACTGGGCTTAACGTCCAAGCTACCGAGGACAACGATGATACCCTTCTGCTAGAGTCATTCGCGCGTACAGTTGGCCAAGGACAGGGGTCTGCGTACCGGGTGGAAGACAAGCGGCTGAATGACTGGGTCGTACGTCAGACGCTCAGTCTCCTGCAGTCGGCTAAAGCCGCCACCGCATCAGCCCCCAACAAACCGTTGCAGCTGCACACCGGACTGGGCGACAACGACATCGACCTAGTGCTCGCCAACCCGGCCCACCTGCAGTCATTAATCGCTCAGTACCCGCAAGTAGATTTCGTATTGCTGCACTCTTCGTATCCTTACACGCGCGAAGCCGGATATCTGGCGTGTGTATACCCCAATGTCTACCTGGACCTGGGAGAGGTTTTCCCCATGGTGAGCCGCGATGCGCAGGAATCCATTCTGCGCGAGAGTCTGGACATCGTGCCCACCACACGTTTGTTGTGGAGTACCGACGGTCACTTCTTCCCGGAAACCTTCTACTTGGCCAACAAGCAGTTCCGCGACGTGATGGAGAAGGTCTTCGTCGATTATGTTCACCACGGCGATTTTACCGTCGACCAGGCGAAACAGGCGGCCGCGGACATTCTCTTCCACAACTCCAACCGTGCGTACAGTCTGAATGAGAAGCTCGCTTACGAGGCACCGGTTTCGGCGAACTCCGTGACCGCCTCGTCGACCGCTACTCTCGATGCATTCATGCGGGGTAATCCCGATGTCAAGTATATCTGGATGCAATTTATTGACTACACTAATACCACCCGAGTTCGGATGTTCCCTGTCGCGGAGTTTGCCAAGATCGTGCGCAAGCAACGGCGGGTTGGCATTTGCCTCTGCACCCAACTGATGCTGCAAGATGATAGTATTGCGCCGGGAGGGTCAGTGACGGGCCAATTCTACATGGAGCCAGACCTGTCCAGTCTTCGCCGCAATGTGGGAATCGACTCGAAGAGTGCCACCGTGATGACCTACTGGAAGACGGAGGAAGGCGCCCCACTCCCCGGGTGTCCTCGGACGACCCTGCAACGGGTTACGAACAGCCTGCGCGAGCACGGTATCGAGGTGACTTGCGGCTTTGAGATTGAAGTCATTCTTCTGAAACCCACCACCAATGATGCGGGCGAGACCGACTATGTGCCCGTGGTCCGGAACCACTCCTGGTCTCAAATGACCACCGACACTCGGAAGATGGTCCCCTTGCTGGAGGAGATTGTCGAGGCCCTCGCATCCACGGGCATCCACCTGGAACAATTCCACGCCGAGTCTGCCCCGGGTCAATTTGAGTTTATCCTGCCCCCAGGCTCGCCCATTGCCGCAGTTGACACTCTGCTGAAAGCCCGCCAAGTCGTCACCTATGTGGCCGAGCAGCACGGCCTCCGCGCTACGCTCCACCCCCGTCCGCTTACCAACGCCGCGGGCTCGGCATCCCACGCTCACGTCTCCATCGCTCCCGCCACTCACGAAGACGCCTTCCTCGCCGGCGTTATGCGCCACTACCCAGCCTTGGCAGCATTCACTCTGTCACAGGACGTGAGTTACGACCGCGTTAAGTCAGGGCTCTGGGCCGGCAGCGAATGGGTCACATGGGGCACGCAGAACCGTGAAACGCCGATCCGCAAGATCTCCCCGGGCCACTGGGAGATCAAGACGCTCGATGGACTGGCCAATACGTACTTCGCGATCGCCGCCTTCCTCTCTGCCGGTTATCTCGGCGTGACGGAGAACCTCCCTCTGACCGTGAAGGACTGTATCCGTAAGTTCCTCCCCAACCCACAATACCACAACCACCAGTACAAGGATCCGAACGAAACTAACGCAACTAACGCAACCAAAACAGACGACGCTGCCAAACTACTCCCCACCGAGCGCGAAGCCCTGGGTATCACAACCCAAATCCCCAAATCTCTCACCCAAAGTCTAGACGCCCTGGCGGCAGACTCCGCCCTGCAGAGCGTCATCGGCGAAACCGTCGTCAGCAACTACACCAGCGTCAAGCGCATCGAGAGTAAACGTCTACTCGCCATGGACGAAACCACCAGAAGAACGTGGCTTATTGAGCGCTACTAGCCTTCATCCATCTCCATGTGTTGCCTTTTCAATACCTTTCGTCTGATGACATGGCCTATTTGCATATGTCCTATGATATCCTCGATAGATTACTTAATTTCTACGCTTTATGAATGATACCTTGGAAGATTTTGACATGTTCTATTGTAGTTTTAAGACTCGAGTACTGCTGTTAGGATAGTAAGATATTCGGTAAGGGAGGACAGTATTTGGTGTAGATAGCGCTAGATGCTTTTGATCTAGTGAAGCTGTATTGTATTATCTAGAATCTTGGATGTTATTGAAACAGTTATTTGCTGGTTTGATTGTAGAACTAATATTGTGCTCTAAATTGCTCAACATGTTTCCTTCATGGTACATGCTCAACTTATGAAACGTCTTGCTTTAGACTTCTAGGGTAATCATTCAGTGGCGCTGAAACAAACAAGCGGAAACAGATCGAGAATTTTGAATGACAAATATGCCAGGATGAAGTATATAACGCCGCTCCGAGATGTCTACTAAAAGCAATACAGCTGCGCAAGAACATATGACTCGTGTATTATCATCATGCAAAGGGTATCACTCGCGACAGATCTAAGAACATATCCACATCCAATAAACAGACCAGCCACCTATGATGAATGTAAAACAAATGCAAAGTGTAAATCAATTCAGAGTCGGCAGTCTATGCCGGTCTCCTAGGCCTTTTTCTGCCCATTCCTCCAGGAGTCGTGAGACTTCCTTGAACGAAACCGGTTTCGTGAGGAACAGATCGACGCCAGAAGTAAGGGCTTCCGACTCGTCGCGCGAGCTGCTGAGTCCAGTCAGGGCAATGATCGTCGCAGGTGTACAACAGTCGCGTTCTCTCTCGATGGCTCTAATAGCCCGAGTAGCTTCAAAGCCGTTCATCACGGGCATCGAGATATCTGTTCGTTTGAGTTAGGATCTGTGTAATTGTGCAGCCAAGGAAACAGGTACAAAGGACAAAGGGAACCTACCCATGAAAATCAGGTCATAGCCTTGTTGAAGCCTTTCCACGGCGTCAACAGCTACTTTACCATTCTCAGCCGCATCCAACGTAGCCAGGTTGCGTTTTTTCATAAAGGTCAACATGAGATTGAGGTTGATGGAGTTGTCGTCCACGACAAGGACACGTGCGAGGCGCTGGGGCGTGGGCTCCGGTTCCTTGATTTGGGACGGCGAGGGATCCCGTACTGAGGAAGATGGAGACATGATGGTAGGAAGGGTTTCCGGGATTTCACTGTGTGTTGGGGAGTGTGCTGATCCAAGAGATGATGATGCGCCCGAACTGCTCGTGGCGCCTGGTGTTAACTCTGCCATATCATCGGAGAACTCAGGCTCAAAACCGCCTTTGCCATCGGGGACGAACTTGGGGCGGTCCGGAAGGACAATGGACCTCGTGGTCGGGATGCTGTCAGCTTGTGAATCAAAGCATTTCCGGATGCTTCGAGCAAGTTTGTGTGGGCCGCATGGCGGGCGGATGATATTTACTACGCTAGCCAGAGAAGAGCACTCTTGTAGCTTAGTAGTTCGGTCGACGGATTTGTCGCAGAGGAGGAGAAGAGCTGGAACTCTGGTTACAAACTGCTTCTTCAGATCCGCAGCTGAAGCGGCTCCATCAGATAAGACGATATCGACAGGTGTCCGAGACGGCCAGGAGACAAGCTCGAGACCGTACCACTCGGTCAAATAACGACTAATAATAGACCACCAAGGATGACTTGCTATCTCATCTGGCTCCACGCCGGCGATAGCAATCCGTCTCCCCGCGTGGTTGTCCCGTAAGAGACGGCTTTCGGTGGGGCTGTCCTTTTCCTTTACGGATGGTGACCGCGGGGTGAGCGGGTCCTCGGCGATATCTTCGACATCCGGTCGCAAGAAAGGCAAGGTGACCTTCACAGTAGTCCCCTCACCGGGCGTGCTATTCACGTCGATGCGACCATTCAACGATTTCACGAGGCTCCGGACAATAGACAGCCCTAGACCAGTTCCCACGGCCAACGTATCCTCCTGAGCGAATGGAGTGTACAGGCGACCGCGCAAAAACTCCTCTGAAATGCCTTTACCGGTATCCGAAACAACGAGGGTCACCAACTCCTCCATGCCTGACCGGCGATAACGACCCTCAGCCTCGGTCACCTCCAGTCGCACAGACACCCGACCCGAATCTGTATATTTCATGGCGTTGCCGAACACATTCATGATAATACGCCGCAAAGCTCCTGGTTGGGTCTGATAGACCCAATCATTCTGTGCAATGTTCACGACGACATCGACTGCAGGCTGAGGGTGTGAGAGGTTGCTTTTGTGGCTTGGGTCCTCCACGGGCGACACCACAACAGGTTGATCAGACGAGATAGTGGATCTCTGACCGTACGCATGCCCCAGACACACTCCTTCCACCACTTCCTCCGTTAAAAGGGCTAGGTCTGTTGATACATACGTGTCCAAATGAGCTGATAGCCGATCGAGCGCCCGATAATCGGATGGCACTGTTCTATCTCGCTTGATATGACGCCATGACTTCTCCAAAGAGACAATCTTGCTGTAATCCAGGACCTGGTTCATCGTATCCAGTAAGGTCCGACCACATGCATCAATAGTTTCCAGGAGCGAGCCCTGAAAGTCATCCAGTTTCGTCCCTCCCAGAAACTCAGCCGCTGCCAAGATACCGTGCAGGGGACTACGCAATTCGTGCCTGTGCAAGAGATACCGATCACTAGCCGACCTACGAGACTAAAGATGGTGAGGATATACTTACGAAATACTGCCGATAAAGTCCCCCTTCTGACGGTCAGAAATAAGCGATTCCACCCGGCTATATTCCGCCATGATGGAAGATCCAAACCCAAGGACAGAGCTCAGCTCCACGGAGGAATTGAAGACGCGGGTTTCAATCGTATTCCAACAGAAGCAACCAGAAAACCATTGAGAATTGGCGGCGTTCCATAAAGGCACGAAGAGAACCTGGGTTGCGTTGGGAAAGTAGAGATTCAGCATGGAGTTTTCCAAGGACTTCCGCTTCTTTCCCGTACCCCTGCCTAGTTCAGGGGTCTTGGTGGCTCGAGAACGACTCCGGGAAGGCTTTTCATCGTCGGAGCTGGAGAGTAGCCCATCTCGGTGGAAGGACCATAGCTTTCCTTTCGAATAGCGCCGGAGCAGCTGATGCAGAAAACTGCTATCGAAGTTCGATGCTGGGTAGAGATTGGAGCTACCAGGTCCCGGCGCGAACGGTTCGTCGTTTGTCGAGATAGCCAATACGGGAGCCGGCGAGCTGTTTTCTGCAGAACAGTCGCTACCGCTCTCCATATCGAGCATTGGTGTATTGCCTGCCTCCAAGAAAATCACACCACCATCACCGCCGAGCTCAAGACTCTCACGCAGCAAATTTGCCGCGCGCTTGAAGGCCCAGGAGTTACCATGGACTTCCTCCGGCCGGTGATTCCCCCGATTGCCCGACCACCAATCTGGAAGTGGTGACAAGCCGGAATCGCCCCGGCCCTCTGACATGGAACTGATCGAACGGGCATCACTGCTCTGAGATCGCCGGGACGGGAGCTCGAAACTGTTGAGCGAACCCACCGAGAGGTGGTTCGCCCTCAAATTGGACGATTGGGGCGTGCCCGGCGCCGCGGCGAAGCTTCCCGCATACGAAGGATGTGTATCGACAAGGCTGGAACTACCCTCAACAAAACAGCTGAGACCCCGAGATAGCCGGGTGGCACGTCTCCCCTCGGAAGCTTGACGGCTCACTCGCAAATAGTCCATGATAAGGGTACTCAATGTTTTCATCGTCTCCTTGTCCGTGTCGGTCAGTCCGTCATGGGGTTTGGTATCCAGGACAAAGAGACAGCCGATATTGATATTGGTCTCCGTTGTCAAAGGAGTTCCTGCGTAGAATCGGAAGTTGGGCTTCTCACGCACAAACGAAAGGCCCTTGTATTCGTCATCCTGGCTTAGATCGTCAATGACGAGGAACTTGCACTGGCCTTCGTCTCTTTTCGAAGGGCCGAGCGCTACTGTGGCCTACACGAGAAGCGGCCTAATTAGCGAGTGAGCATGGTGTTTCCGACGAATGAGACATACCGCACACATCTTCCATGCCTCGGCAGAAATTGTGCTACAGCCGTTCCATATTCCATCTTGTGGCAAATCACACTTGCTTGGTGTAGAGGACGACCGCGTTGACTGTGCCAGGATGAATTGTGAGTTACGATCCGAGACACTAGACAGCACAGTGATTAATAAAGGCAGTTCAGTCAAAAACGGAGCAGATTCCACGTACCTAATCAAAACACGCTCGACGTCAAGACGCAACGCTGCCAGCTGCGCGAAGGACGTCAACGTTGTATTGGGATTACCTAGGACCAAGGCCTCCTCTGGCACAACTGCAGATGCTGCACCGACGGGCCCGGGTAACGGTGGTTGCGAAGAGATCGACGGCGACGGAGGGGTAACCAGAGACGAATCCTGGATTGGAGCCGAGGTTGAAAAGGGCGAGCTATTGCTGCTGGAGGTCGGGTTCCCATTGAGGAAGCGTTCCGGTTGGAAGTAGCGATAGAGCTCACGAACTCTGCGACCGGTATTGTGGTCTTCGCCCCTGTGACTGGATTCCATGGTTGCCAAGAGCGAGATAACGGCCGGAACGAGGGATGGAGAAAGTGCGCAAAGAGGTTTAATCGTTTAACGGCTTCAGTCGCACTCCATCGTCAGTCCCTTCTCTGAGGACAGAACTATTGTTGGTTGGATTGGGTGTGGCGCAAGAAAAGAGCCTAAATTGTGAGGATGGGAGGGGGAAAGGGCGGAAAGACCAGGAAAAAAAAAGAAAAA